TATGCACACTGTTGTAATTCCCACACCGTTCACCTGATTTGGATGTCAATACCCTCAAATTAAAGCTGACAGTCTGCAGTTAAAGCACATCTTGTTTGTTTCATTTCAAATCCATTGTGGTGGTTTATAGAGCCAAAAATGTTAGAATTGTGTTGATGTCCCAATATTTATGAACCTGACTGTAGATCTTTTTGCCTCGGGAAAAAACAACAGGGTTCCGAGGTTCTTCTCCCTGAACCGCGGGGACGGATCAGAAGCGGTGGATGCGTTAGGGCAGAGGTGGGATTACCCGCTGTGCTACGCTTTCCCCCCGGTCCCCTTACTCCCCCTGGTGTTAAAGAAATTCAGGGCAGAGAGAACCTCACTTATCCTGATCGCCCTATTCTGGCCACGTCGAGCATGGTTTGCGACTCTAACAAGCTTAGCCACACGGCTGCCCTGGGAGTTACCGCCAAGAAGGGATTTGTTGACACAGGGATCGGTCCTATGCCCCAGGTTGGAGAGACTAAGGCTGACGGCCTGGTTTTTGAACAGCTCCTTTTAGCAAAGGTGCTTTCGTCCAGGTTGGTGGCGACGTTGCTAGCTAGCAGGAAGGAGGAGACCCAGGTCATTTATAGCAGGGTTTGGGGTTGCTTTTACGTCTTGGTGCGATAGGGCATCGGTGGCGACCCATAGCATGGTATCAGTGTTGGAGTTTCTGCAAGCAGGGGCGGACAAGGGACTTTCTATCACCACACTCAAGGGCCAGGTTTCAGCCCTCAGCGTGTTTTTGGAGACGCCCTTAGCCAGGGAGGCACTGGTAGGGAGTTTTTTTTAAGGCCCTGACAAGGCAGAGACCTCCAAGGTCCAGGCCTTTTCCAATATGGGACTTGGCAAAAGTGCTTGGAGTACTGATTAGGGCCCCGTTCGAGCCCTTAGAGCCCTGCCCGATAAGAGACCTTACAATTAAGACGGCCTTTTTAGTGGCGATTACCACAGCAAGGAGGGTGTGCGAGCTAGAGGTCCTCTCAGTCAGAGCCCCCTATCTACAGATTTTTGCGGATAGAGTGGTATTTAGGACGGACCCATCCTTCATTCATTCAAAGGTGGCCCAGAGGGAGCAGGATATAGTGCTACCCTCGTTTTTTCCTGACCCGGTTGGGGAAATTCAGGAGAGACTACATTTGTTAGATGTTAGAAGGTGCGTGCTGCTGTACCCTGAAAAGACGAAAGAGTTTAGGAGCACGGAATCTTTTTCTGTTTCTTTCGCGGGGATTAGGAAGGGCAAGAAAGCTTCTAGGAGGACACTGGCTGGATGGTTAAAGCTGGCGATTGCAGGGGCATACCAAGCGGAGGGCCTAGAGGCCCCGAAGGGAATCAGGGTGCATTCCACCCGAGCAGTAGCAACTACCCAGGCTGAGCTGGCAGGTGCTTCCCCAGTACATTTCAATTCTTCTATTGATTCCACATGCCTCTCAGCAAATAGTTTGGGGTGTCTACTTTCCAAAAAGGGGTCGTTTTGGGGGGTGGGGGCATTTTATGCCCAGCATTAGAAGTTTGTCACACATCATTCACTCTTCTAACCACCTGAAGACCAAGCGTTTTCTGACACTTTTTCTTCACATGACAAAAATCAGTCTTTTTTGCTAGGAAATTAATTTAAACCCCAAACATTATATATTTTTTTTAAAGAAAACACCCTAGTGAATAAAATGGTGGGTGCTGCAATTTTTTCTGTCACTTAGTACTCGCGCAGTGATTTTTCAAACGCAATTTAATAAAAAAAAATGTTTTTTACTTTTAATGCACAATAATACAATATATTGGCCAATTGTTTGGTAAGATATAAAAGATGATGGTATGCCGAGTAAATAGATACCAAACATGACATGCTTTAAAACTGCACATGCCCTGTGCAATGGCGACAAACTACATACGTTTTTTATGTCCATAGGCAACGTTTAAAAGCCTTTACAAGCTACCATTTTAGATTTACAGAGGAGGTCTAGTGTTAGAATTACTGACCTTTACCAAGATTGTACAAATATCTAAATAGTGGCACGCTTGAATAAAAATTGGCCACGTATAAGTGGTACCCCATATGGCAAAAGGATGACACCAAGTCCCAAACTATCTTGTCACTACTCCCCATGTAGTCTTGGCTTCTGGGGGGCTCCACGTTACTATCTTTTCCCTCTTAAATCCGAAACTTGTAAGTATAGCCTGTTGCCCTCTCACAGGTCTTCTACATCTTGACGCCATATCTGGTACGCTTGCAGGGGAGAAATTGTTTGAATGCAAGGCAGCCAGAAAAATTAATGAGGGACTCATCAACGCAGATTTTTTGCTGGGGAGTACAGACATCTGCAAATTTTTGGTTAAGGTGATTTACGAGGGGCTGTGCATTTTGTGGAGCCAGTCAAATTCAGGGTCACCCCGGGGATGACCGAGTGTATTGTCGTTGAAATGCATAAAACACATTATACTCTCATATCTAAGCCTGGCAATGGCAGCAGAGAACACTGCATATGATGAACCGGGTCTGTGGACCAATACAACCGCAATTCATTTTTTTTTTAGTAATGCCCATGTTGAGGGTTAGGCCCCACAAAAATATAAATTCAGAAACCGTAATGAGTTTCCATGCAAATTGTCTGGCAAGGTTTGAATTTGGGTTGGCGGCGATACATTGTTGTGCATATAAAATGCTTTGAGCCACAATCAATGCATACAGATCTTCCATGAAAAACCACTCCCAAAAAATAAAGGGGAGTAGCTAGCTGCTTCCTTTACTCCCTTCCTGCCCAGGCCAATTTTCAGGTTTCAGCGCTCTTACAATTGCACGGTCATATATTGTACCCAAACTAAAATGTTATCATTTTCTTCACACAACTAGAGCTTTCTTTTGGTGGTATTTATTCACCGCTGGCGGTTTTTATTTTTTGCTAAATTAACAAAAAAAGAGCAAAAATTTTGAAAAAAAAAACCCACATTTTCTTTGTTTCTGTTTATAAAAGTTTGCAAATAATTGTTCTTCATAAATTTAGGCCAAAATGTATTCTACTACATGTCTTTGGTGAAAATAACCCAAATTAGGATGTATTATTTAGTCTGTAGGAACGTTACAGAGTTCACAAACTATGGGATATATCTGAAAAATGATCAATCCTGAAGTACTGACAGCCAATCTAATTTCTTGAGGTCCAAGAATGTCAGAACAGTACAGATATCTCCTAAATGACCCCAGTAGACAGTCCGACGTATTCATAACAGGCATGGCGATTTTTTTTTTTTTCTTTTTTTATTGAAGTTGTATTTTTGTAATTTTTCAGAAAGGAAGACATAATAAAAAAGATTTTCACTTTTTTTTTTTTAACATACTGTCACCAGTGCAGTACAGCGTCATTGTATAACTGGCATGGCGGTGATCAGGGTCACTGACTGGTGACAGTACAAAAAATAAATTGATAATTTTTTTTACTTTTTTTATTTGTTTTTTATTACATTTTTTTTCTCTTTTTTTTAAGATTTTTTTTCATATTTCACTATGACCAAACAAGTATAATGTTACCATAGTAAGCATTTACCTGAATAAAATCGATTAATTCAGGGTTTTTTTTTTTGTGCTTAACTGTGATTTGGCCACAGCTAATCACATGAAACAGCTGGGCTGTGATTGGCCCAGCTTGTGCATGTGATCGGTGTGACCATTCATAGCTAGCCACACTTGTATACAATGGATGGCATCAAAGGAAGCCATCCATTGTATACAACTGTCATGTGACCTGCTGTGATTGGTCACAGCAGGGCACATGGTACTGGCAATGGGGCCGGTACACAGATCTGTCATCAGCCGTGTCCGAAGTACACAAACGGTGACAGATCGCGCTGCTGAGCGGCTCTGTGGGCAGGCGCAGTACGCATGCCTGAAAGGATGCCATATAGCGTCCACCTGGAGGGATGAGCTGCAATAGCACAAAGGCGGCTGGACGGCAACTGGTTAAATTTGCTATTTCCACCTGAATTCCGGGTTGGGCAGTTAATGGAGCAAGTACGGGTGCTGCAGAATTTGTGGGCTGCCAGTCGGAATTTGCTAGCACATCGGGAAGGATACGAGGGGCTCTACGGGCCTGTGTGCAAATTCTTGGTGGTTGCGGGACAGTACTTGTGCTCGCTACCGCACCAGCTTGTACTGCACTTATGGGACTTGCCACGTCACCAAGTGATACTGCAGTGCTGGTATTATTATTATTATACAGGATTTATATAGTGCCAACAGTTTGCTCAGCGCTTTACAATATAACGGGAGACAATACAGAACAATACAGTTCAATACAAGAGGGTTAGGAGGGCCTGATCCTGGGAGCCTACAATCTAAGAGATATGTGAAAGACCAGGGCTTAAAATTTCTTGTCTAGACCTACTAGCCAGGCACAAACCTTACTCTCCAGTTGCCCCACCCAACATTTGCCAGGTCTGCCTTCAACCCCACCCCTGGCCCATCCTCCAACCCAGCCCTGCCCCCAACCACGCCCCCTTAAAGTTTATGAAATTAAATTTTTCTTTTAGAATAAAGAGTCCAAAATATAAAAAACTGCAATTATAACATATCTTTATTATGCCAATTTAAACATAACAGAAATAGCTTAATAGCAATAGGGTGCAATCAAAATATCAAGTTTTACAGCTTTAAACCTGTAGCAAACATTTTTGTTTTTTTTTTGTTTATTTCCTGCATCTTTAAAAAGAGACTTTAGTAACTAAAGTCTCTTTTAACTAGCTGCCGACCGCAGATAGCCGAATGACGGCTGCACTGCGGCCGGCCAGTTCTGAGTGGACGTCATATGACGTCCGCCCAGAACGCGCCCTCCTGCGCGCCCAAGGGGGCGCACACCCGGCGATCTCCGTGATCGCTGTGTCCTACGGACACAGCTGATCACGTGATGTGGTAAAAGGCCAATCACAGCGGCCTTTTACCACGTGATCAGCGGTGTCCAATGACACGCTGATCAGAGGGAAATGCAAGTGCCGGTTCTCGGCTGCACTTTCCTCACGCTGTCAGATCGTGAGGAAAGTACTGCCGAGAACCGGCAGTTGTCAGAGCGGGGATCGGCACCGATCATCAGGGCACTGATGATCAGTGCCCTGATGATCGGTGCCCAGCAGTGCCACCCGCAAGTTCCGCCCACCTGTGCCCAGCAGTGCGCCCACTAGCTCCGCCCACCTGTGCCCAGCAGATCACCCACCTGTGCCCAGCAGTGCACCCACCTGTGCCACTCTGCAGTGTCACACACCTGTGCCCAGAAGTGCCACCTACCTGTGCCCACCAGTGCCATCCACATGTGCCCACCCACCTGTGCCCACCAGTGCCACCCACCTGTGCCCACCCACCAGTGCTGTCCACCAGTGCCACCCACCAGTGCAGTGCTGCCAGTCAGTGCCACCATTCAGTGCCCAGCGGTTGTGCCAGTCAGTGCTGCCAGTCAGTGCCCAGCAGTGATGCCAGTCAGTGCCGTCTATCAGTACCCATCATCAGTGTCACCTATCAGTGCCGCCTATCAGTGCTGCATATTAGTGCCGCCTATCCGTGCCACCTCATTAGTACTGCCTATCAGTGCCCTTTAGTGCTGCCTATCAGTGCCCATCAGTGCTGCCTCATCAACGCACATCAGTGAAGGAGAAAAATTACCTGTTTGAAAAATTTTATAACAGAAACAAAGAAACTTTTTTTTTTTTTTTCAAATTTTTTGCACTTTTTTAATTTATAGCGCAAAAAGTAAAGCACCCAGTGGCGATTAAATACCACCAAAAAGCTCTATTTGTGAGAGAAAAATGATCAAAATTTCATATGGGTACAATGTTGCATGACCCGCGCAATTGTCAATCAAAGTGCGGCAGCGCTGAAAGCTGAAAATTGGCCTGGTAAATAAGGGGGTATAAGTGCCCGGTAGGCAAGTGGTTAAAAGATGTAAGTTTAGTTAATGTCATTTACCTTAAGCTGGCGGGTGTAGTGATGTGCACCATTGGCGGGTCTCTCCTTCACGTGTCCCCCACGCCGGTGTAGAGCGGGTCTCTCCTACACGTGTCCCCCACGCCGGTGTAGAGCGGGCATCTTCGCGAGTCTCCCAAGGCGGTGTAGGGCGGGCCTCTCCTCTCAGCGGAGGAGAGTGGACCTCTCCTGCACCTGTCCCCTCAGGGACTCTGCCAGTGTAATGGCGGTGCCGAAGAAGTTGGAAACCGGAACTCAGCTTCACAATGAGTCTTGGAGCGCAGGTGGAGCCGCTCCATCTGTGCTTGCAACACAAGGATTCTCCCTCGCAGTTGGCGAGCGGCTTTTTCAAGCCCTGTACTAGATCGCTGGTGCTCGCCAGTTCACCAAAAGGTAGCGCGGCACTAGTACTGGCACGCCACTGCATATGAGAGTCATCAAAATTTACTGGCAAGTGCTAACAGAGATCAGGCATGATTCTGCAAACACTGCGGTTTTGTGTGCAATGTATCAAGTGACAGTGACCTACTGACACGACACTTGCTTGGGGAGAAGGGGGGGGTAAGCATAGGGGCTAAACGCAGGTGCTGGGGCTGATCACGCTAACATTGCGTTTTTGGGGACGCTATACTAATGTGAACGCTGGTATAGTGCTGATCTGATCAAAGATCCGTTCAGACACTATACTAGCAATGAAGGTTTATTGTGTATGAGTGTCTTCCTGGCAATCAAGGGGTTAAATGTGATGACTGGTGTACTGACGGGCAATCTTACACTATCTAGGAGGGGCGTAAAAACCATGGGAGCGGAAATCCCCAGTGACATCAATACAGTGATCAGTGCAAACATAAAACACTGACAATGTACTAATGGCACTGGGAAAGAAGGGGTTAATATTGGGAGGCAATGAAAGGGTTAACTGTGTGAGGTGGTGTTTCACTAGGGGGCGGAGGTGTGTACCTCTGTTACACACTGTCCCGGAAGGCTGTGATCAAGGCTGAAAGCTGAAAGGGAGGAAGAGCTCCATTGAAAACAATGTCTTCCTCCCCATTTGTGTTTGCCGGCAATCGCTGGGCTCCTGCGGGTAATCACCGGCCGGGACCCAGTGATTGACGTCCGCAATCGGTGCCGCGGGTAGGGCGGTCACACACCTCGCGCGAGCCCCCTACCCCGGAATGCAGGATCACGTTTATATACATGATCCTGCGTACAGGGGCCGCCTTGTAGCTGTACTGCAGGCGGTCCCCTAGTGGTTAAGGAATCCCTAAGAATGAGAAACAATGGCTTTGAAATGACAGAGCTCAATTCTTTAACCGCCTCCCGCCCGCCATATAGTACAATGATGGGCGCAAGGCGGTTTTCTCGATCTGGGAGGACGCCATGTGACGTCCTCCCATTCTAACCGTGTATGCGTGGCTCCGGGAGCGCGCGGCGATCGGCTTTGCGCTGTGTCCCTCGGACACAGCGGATCACCGATCAACGGAAAGAGCCGAAGATGTTGGCTTGGTCATGTGATCAGCTGTGTCCAATCACATGTAAACAGGGAAATGCCGGTTATTGGCATTCTCTCCTCACGAGCTGTCACGCTGACAGCTCGAGAGGAGAGCCGGTAATTGGCATTCCTCGGAGGGGACACGTACATTGATCATCAGAGCACTGACGATCAGTGTGCCCTGATGGATCTGTGTAGCCCCAGCAGTGCCACCTGTCAGTGTCCATCAGTGCCAGCTGTCAGTGCTCATCCATGCCACCTGCAAGTGCCCATCAGTGCCACATTTCAGTGCCTACCAGTGCACATCAATGCCACATTAGTTCCCATCTTAGCTCCCTTTCATTGTCACCCATCAGTGCCAGTCTGTGCCACCTATCAATGCCAGTCAGTGCTGCCAAACAGTGCCACCTATCAGTGCCAGTCAGTGCCGCCTATCAGTGCCTCATTAGCGCACATCAGTGAAGGAGAAAAATCACTTATTTACAAAATTCTATAACAAAAATTAAGAAAAAACTTTTTTGTTTGTTTTTTTTTTTTTTTTTGTTTTTTTTAAATATTCAGTGGTTTTTGGTTTGTTTAAGAAAAAATAAAAAACCCAGAGGTGATTAAATACCACCAAAATAAAGCTCTATCTGTCACAAAAAAATGATAAAAATTTCATATGGGTACAGTGTTTTATGACCGCGCAATTGTCATTCAAAGTGCAACAGCGCTGAAAGCTGGAAATTGGCCTGGGCAGGAAGGGGGTATAAGTGCCCTGTAAGCTAGTGGTTAAGGACCCATGGGTGTATGCCATCCGGTCCAGGTGCTTTATTCACCTTTATTCTGTCTAAATATTTCTGGATCATATCAATTGTGAGCCAATGTGGACCATCTGGGGCTGTGTCAGTACCATGCCCATTATGGACAAGAGCTCCCCCATGCTCCGTTGTATACACAGAGCCGAAGAAGGTATTTAATAAATTTGCCGCCTTTGTCCCCAGTCACACACTCTAGATTATTTTGTAAAGTGCCTACATGCTCGGACTTGAGCTTTTTGCTATAAATATATTTGAAGAATATTTTGGGGACTTACGGTTCCGGCGCCTCATGAGCTAGGGACGGCATTCCGGAGCTCCAGAAACCACCGCTTATAAAAACAGCCTCCTGCACCAGAGGCTATAATTACCTGGCACGGGAGTGCCCCCTGAGTCTTCCCCATCCGCTCCTACATTGACTGGTACTTTCGGTCGGCGACACCTGGGCCCCGATCCCGCCGCACGGTCCCAGGGGAACAGCTCTCCCTCTCCTGCAGCCAAGATGGCCGCCGATTCATGCTTCCAACAGCAGCAGCAGCAACAACAACTGGACGGGCAGCATGGACTCAGAGCCAGAACCAGGAGCAGGTAGGAAAGAAGCACAGCCACCTAACACACCATCATTAGGGCATGCTGACATTGTTAGTCCCACGGACCAGTATGAAGGAATTGCACAGGCTGTCACTTCCCTATTACTACCTATTATTATTCAGTCAGTGGACAGAGCAGTAACACAGGGCATAGAGAAACTTAGAAGAGACCTGGGAGAAAACGCCAAATGTATAACTGAAACTGAACAACGCCTCTCTGACCTAGAGGATGAGTTTCAAGCTATGCAGGCGGGCGCTATACAATCCAAACGCACGCAACAGAACATCTTGGATAAGCTAGACAACCTTGTGATCCTGAGGAAGTCACGCGACGATCATGAAGTAACGCGTAGAGCGCGGTGACGTACTTCCAGTAGATGCCATCTTTGTACACCCAGTGCTTCAACAAACACACCCATATCATGTGGTGAGAACTGCCTGTACATATCAGCTATACTGTGAGTGTTTACTTGGCGTTTTTTTTTCCTTTTAAGGTATGATTAAACAGAGCTACACTATGGAAGTGTTTCTCTTGCTTGCTTTTTCATGGCCTTGTTATGAGATATATATGAACCTAATGAGCTGTACTGCGGTGGTCTGATGTTGGAGGGAGAGCCAGTATATAAGGAAACTACCTTGAGGTAATGTGCCACTGGAGCCTGCTTTATATGATGTTATAAGGTGCGGAGTCATCTGCTGGTTAGGATCCAGGGGATCCATAAGGCGTAGTGGCCCTTTGGGGTCGCAGGAAGGAGGTGAGGAGGCATTGCAGCCATTTAAGGATATTTATCCACCTGAGTGTGGCACTACCACTACAAGCACCTTATTGAGGAAGATTGAAAGCACTTTTAATTGTGTTTTTTTGCACATTTTTTTTGTGGACTTTATTAATCATTATTAAGTTCCTAGCACTGTTTATATGTATTTGATTTTTAGCACCAGTCACTATTGTTTATAGGTATCCCATTTGTTGGGACTCACTGTGTCACTTTGTGCATTATCCCTAGCTGGGATTGGGGAGTTTTGACACTTTATTGCAGGTCCAATTGAGACCAGATTTGTATGCACTTTACCACTTGTTGTTGCACTATTTAAGATCCCTGAGGATCTATCACTTACTTATGCATTATATGAATTTGTATTTTATTTAATATATTTTATTTATCTATATTATTCAGCGCTACACCAATACTATTATTTTACATTTATTGCATCTTTGGTATAGGACAGGGTGGTAGCAGCTTATTTATTACTCATATTTTTGTTTAGCGCAGGGGGATTTCCTTGTTTAACTTAAAAAAAAAAAAAAAACTTGCCCCTCCCATGCACGCACAGCGGTTTGCACAAGGGTTGACCCTGTGCCGGTATGTAAACAGCGGTTGCACCATACATGTGAGGTATTGCCGTGAACATCAGATCAAGGACAGCAATTCTAACACTAGACCTCCTCTATAAATCTAAAATGGTAGCTTATAAAGTGTTGCCCATGGATATTAAAAATGTATGCAGTTTGTCGCCATTGCACGGGGCATGCACAGTTTTTAAAGCGTATAACGTTTTGGTATCTATTTACTCGGCATACCATAATCTTCTATATATTACCAAATAATTGGCCAATATATTGTGTTTTTGTGCATTAAAAGTAA